GGGTGGTCCCACTCAGGCAGATTCTAGGAAGGCAAGTGACAGTGACAGAAAGCAGGTGGCAAACCTGGGACATGGCGGAGTGGGAGGACCACAGGGAAGGACTGGGGGGTCCAACTGCCCTATGTGGTGACCGTGAGGGCACTCGACCTGAACACTTGACCTTGCACCTGCACGTAATGCCTCAGTAAGGAAAGACCCAAAACGCAAAGGGAGGAGGAAACAGCCTCGCAGGCCTGGCGTTGGACGCTGGCAAAGGCCCTGCTCCTTGTGCAGGCCCGCCCCGCCCCACCCCGAAGCTCTGACAGCCAGGCTTGCCCAGGCACAGGATGAACACCTGCGGCCACCAGACAGCGAAGGGGAAATGGCTGCAGAAGATGGAGAGCCTCGGGGGACAGGAAGGCTCTCTCAGGTGGCGATGGTGCCCCTGGAGACTCGCGTGGGTATTCTGCTGCAGGTGAATCATTGCTCACCCAAACTGGCTCAAGTAGAAATCTCTGGGTGTTCAGGGGCTTGGGGAGTAGACAGGAAGCTGCGTGGACATGCTCGGCCCTGGACCTCCCGCAGCAGAAGCCAAGGACAGGGTGGACAAGGCAATTCTGGGAGGCCACCAGTGGGGGCTCCCAGTGAAGACCACAGGACAGTGCTTGGGGTGTCCAGGGACCCATAGGACAGCCTCTTTATGCTTGGTAGGACAGACACACAGGGACTGGCACCTCCCCTGCCTGGCCAGAGCTGCCCACTTGGTGGTCATTTAAAAGGAAGATGCACTTAAAAGCTGCCCATCTGTGCCAAGGGTTCTTGGCCTCACCCCAGCCATGCAGGACCCAAAGCACCCTGCTCCCTGGAACAGGGAGATGCCAATGGACTACAGGTCTCACTGACAAGGGACAGGCGGAGCGGGAATGTCTGCTGCTTCCCTCCAGAGCCAGGGGCCCTGTGAGGTCACACTGGGCAGGCAGGTGCACCACCACGCGTGTCCAGAGCCTTGACAGTGGCTGAGGGTTCGTGCAGGGCTGATACAGGCCCTGAGTGGTTCTAATTTGCCCTGGGTTCAGGCAGCCCTCACAGGCTGGCCCATGAGGCTGGACACTGGGCTCAGCCATGAACACCAATCTGCTGTCCCACAGAATGGTATGCAGGGGACTGTGTGGAACCCTGGAAGCAGCAGCCCAGGGTGGGGGACCGACAAGCCGCAGCCCCCTTGGGAAGGGGGGGCTGACACCGACGTGTGTGGCTGGCATAAGTACCAAGGCAGGCCTTTGCCTCCGACATCAGAGTGACAGCTGCCAGCCACAATTAAACATCTGCCGCCCGGGAGGGCTGGCCCACGTGTGGGCCCGCTGAAGGGCAGAGACGGGGAGGCTGCAAGGGCCCCATGGGACCCCGAGGTGGAGAGAGGCTGGGCGGCCCGCCCCAACTCCAGCTAAGGCCAGGACAAGGAGGGCAGGCTGGTGTGGTCGGGCGTGCCCTCCGTGGGCTCCTCCCCAAGCCCGGCCTGCCCTGCTCCTGGCCTCACGGGCCAGGGTGACACCAGCCCCAGCCACACTCGGTAGCTGCTCAGGGATCTGCATGCTGTCTGTCTTCTCAATGGCAAGGCAGAGGCAAGGCAGCAGTGTGACCTTCTGGCCATTACACTGGCCTGGGAGACCAGGTGGGCCCAACTGGGGACAGTTGGAGTCCTCCATCCCCACCATCCCAAGCTGACCCAGGTGCGCAGCCTGGTGGGGGCAGCCAGCACTCCTGGGTTAGCCATGGGATATGCAGACACCTACCTGGCTAGAAGCCCTGGAGAGTTCAGGTGACCCTGGCCCTGTGCCCCACCCTCTAGGGAAGGGCGGGTGAGGAGTGGGGTGGCTGTGTCGGCCAGGACCAGGCTCTACCTGGGTGCTGGGGCTCTAGAGAAGCTGGTCCTGACGTGCTTCACGTCGGGATGGGTGCAGGCAGACTGCGTCTCTAGAAGGGGACCCCGTGTGTGTGTGCACCCATGTGTGTTGTACTCTGAGAGCTCCCAGCAGTCCAGGGAGCTGTTCTGGGCACAGACACTCCAGCCCTGTGACACGTCCTCCTGCCTGGGGGCTCTGGCCCCTCTGTGCCTGGCTCCTAAGTGCCCTGGCCACAGGCTGGAGTGGCAGGTAGACCACAGGGCCAGAGGCAAGTTGCCCTGCCCATTTAGTGATGGCAACCTCCCAGGGGGGTGGAGAGGGATGCTGGCGGGGGGCAGAGGAGAGGGGCCTGGCCAGCACCCGCAAGTGGGGACCCAGCCAGCAAGCATCATGCCTGGGGGCTCCGGGGTACCCCCCAGCTTCCCAGTGGCATCATTAATGACATAAATTGAAAAAAACTAATGTCCTTTGAGGACACTAGAAAAATCAAGGGTGTGACTCTGCCTAGTGGAGGACAGTATGGGACATGAGAGATGAAGAAGGCAGACACGGGTGTGGCCAGATGCACAGCTGGGCTGGGGTCCCAAGGCAACGGGCAGGCTGTCCCCTCATGACTGTTCATTGTACAGGGCTGCCTGTGCTCTCAGTGGGGGGATGTGGGCCTCCACAGAATTTCAGGCACACGATGGGCACTGGACCAGAGATCCCTGAGGTTACCCTGACCGACCTCCCCCTTGACAGTGGGAAACTGAGGACAGGGGAGAAGGGAAACCTCACGGGGACACTGGGAGCACTCCACATTCCACCAGCTCAGTGACGGGAGTGCTGCCCAGCCCTCGGGGGGCCCAGGCAAGGGGCAGCACACTGCTGGCCCCACAAGCTGTCCCCAGAGGAGGCTGGGCCCAGTGCTGGAAGCCCAGGGCACGGGGCCCGGCTCCCCAGGGGCCGCCCTCCTCTCCTGCCTCCCATGGCCTCCCTCCCCCAGCACACCCTGATGCCAGCAACGTCACTGCCAATAACCTAGATTTTAACCAAGAAATCTCACACCCCCTTCCTCTGCCCCACTTATGGACCTGCTGAAGAGAAAGCCACAAGAAAACCCAGACTGTGGCTCCGTGAGCCACGCAGGACAGGGCCCACAGCACCCAGCACATGGCCCCACTGCCAACACTGCCCAGGTCGGGCAGGGCCAGCCAGGGCTCCCTCCCCCACCTGTCACCAGCCCCTACAGGGGTCCCCTGGCCCCAGGGCTCTGTGTTCTATCTGAGCACCGGGAGAGCTGGAGAGAGGCCTGGCCTGGGCAGCGGGCCACTCGGAGCAGTGCGACATCCTGACCCCCACCCTGCACATGCCAGCTCTGGAAGCCTCTTCATGGCCACGTCCCCCGGCTCCTCAGAAAACCCCTGGAGGCAGGGGGGTTGTCCCTGTCCCTGTCCAGTGAGGGCTCTGCTGACCAGGCATAAGGGACAGGGGACTGCACAGGCTGTAGGACCACACCGTGCTCCCAGTCATCCTCACACATACCCATTTCCCACCATCCCAACAAGCCATAGCTAAGGTCACTACAGGAGGCAGGACTGTGAGGGGACAGGAGAAGACCAGAGACCTGTCCCCAGCTCTGTGGTTCACCACCGGAGAACACCAGTGAGGCCCCCTGCCACCGGGCCCCAGCACCAATGCTCCCCTAACCCATCCACAGGGCTGTGTCCAGCCACCAGCATGGTGAGTTCTCAGGACCATAGGACACGCAGGTTGGCCGGGATCTACTCTGGGAGTAGATCAGAGTGACAGCCCCATCCTGTGTAAACCCCCAGCCTTGTGGGCCGGGGAAGGGGATCAGGGCCCTTCTGTTCCTTGCACAGGGGCAGTCACCGGGCGCAGAGCACACTGCACACAGGGCGGATTCCCTGAAGTCAGAGGCTGAGCGGGTGCCTGAGTGTGAGGCCCGCACATCCAGGCCAACTCGGGCACTGCTGCGCGTCTTGATTTCAGGAAAAAAAATCCACCCTGACCCTGCCACAAGAAGAAAACGCATCCGGCCCCGGCCTCAGCAGCCTGAAAGCCACTGTTCTAAAAGACGTGTGCAAAACGACACTTTCACACAGAGACGACGCCACAGGGTCTGGGGCCAGGGCAGTGGCTTCCCCTGCAGGCTCCGAGAAGGAGTGGGGTGGCCCCAGCAGAAGCTGAGACCTTGCCACCCAGTCTGCAGCCACAGCTGCTCCAGAGGCAGCTGCCGTCCCAAGAGCCCAGGCTGGGCACTGCTCCTGACCGCCCCAGCACTGATGGACCCCTGAGGCATGAGACAAGTGGCAAACGGGGTGGAGAGAGTCCCCGTGCTGCCCCTTGGCCCATCCTCCCACTGCAGCACCATGTGCTTGGGTCCAGGCCACCACACAGGGCCCTGCATGCAAATCAGCACAAGCAGAGACCCAGGCACACTACAGGCTTCCAGGGGACGCCCCAGCCTGGGCCCCCATGGCTGGTCCCTCTGCCTAGTGAGCCCTGTGGTCTCCAGGATGTTCTCCACAAGGCCTGCATCTCAAACTAGGGCATCCCGGGCTTACTGGTCCCAAAAGAGGGAGCACCCCCCTGAGCAGAAAGGATGAGAGGGCACTCACGCAGCTCTCAGAACTTTCTGGTCTGTCCGCTGGGGCGGGGCCCAGGAAGGTGGGCAACAGATAGGAACCTCGGGATCAGAGGAAGTAAAACCTCACAGAGGACAAAGACACTAAGGTGGAAGGGGAGGGAGGCAGGACTTGTGGGGTACCACACTGGTGCCGGGCACTTCACAGACAGGGACACCAAGGCCTTGAGCTGGCAGCAACTGTTCTGTGAGCCCTCAGGAGGTCACTGGGCCATTGAGACCCTTGGTTTCCTCATCTGTCCAGTGTCAGAACCCTTCCTGCATGTGCCACTGCAGCTCTGGCAGAGGCTTGTGACCTGCCATCTCATCAGCATCGAGCCTGAGCTCCTTGGTGGCAGGGACCCTGTCCACCTACCACTCGGGCCAGCTGCTCCTATCTCCTCCAACCTCTCTCCCCGTGCCTGCAGCACAGAAGCCTCCCCATCAGGCTGCAGTGCCCCGTGCCCACAGGCCTGCCGGCCTGTCGTTACCTGCGTAGCTGCCCGTGGCCTTGATGTACATCTGGCCATACTGCTCCTCCACCATGGTGTCGTAGGCCTCGTCGTCCTCCTCCTCCTCCTCATTGTGGTAGGAGGTGGGGCTGTCGGTGGTGGGTAGGCTGCTGGCCCCCGGACTGGTCCGCTCCCCCTGGGGGTAGGGCACCTGCTGGATGCTGGGGATGAGGGTGGCCAGGCTGGGCACCCCATAGTAGGAGACTCGGGGCAGCTTGAGAGGGGCCGCGCCAGCCGCCACCGCCACGCCGTCCCGGGGCCCCGTCTCCAGCGGGCGCTTGGGAGCTAGGCCTGGGCCTGCAGCTGGCGGCAGCTCCATGGCTTCATGCTTTACACGGGTCAGCAGCGGGATGGGCACAGAGGGGGACACGACGTAGGGGGTGGCGGAGGTGGCAGCAGCCGGCTGCAGCTGGTTGCAGGGACTCTGGGGTTCGGAGCTGGCGTCCTCAATCATGGTGGTCTGCGAGTCGCAGTGGGGCGAGCTCACCTTGAACATGAGGTCTGTGCCACGCTCCACGATGTGCTGGATCTGCAGGAAGCCGGCTGTGTACATGACCACTAGCTGCTCGCTGGCCGCCATGGTGAGCTTGCCTGTGTAGCAGAAGGACAGGATCTGCTGGAAGCAGGCAGGTGGCACCGTGCCTGGCAGCTCAAACGCACTCTTGCTGTTGCCACTAAACAGGTCGCGGAAGTAGAGGCTGCTGGCGGCCAGCACGGCCCGGTGGGCCTTGAAGGCCTGGCCCTTGACCACGATGGACACATCGCAGTAGAGGCCCAGCAGCCGTTGCTCGTTGAGGCAGCCAAGCACAGTGTTCCCGAAGTTGGGGATCTCGATGTGTAGCATCTGAGACATGGTGGACGGCGTGTGGATGGGCCTCAGACTCAGCGCGGGGTGGCCCGAGTGGGGCACATCTGTGGGGGGACAGCATGGTCAGTTCTCTGTCCTCACAAGTGCTCCCTGTCCTACCTGGCAAGCACCCACCTGTGTCCCTGACCCCTACAAAGGGCAAAGTACCAATGTGCCCTCCTGGCTGGAGGAACCCCAGAGAAAGGCTCTGGGGGTCTTATGGTCAGGACCCTGGCTGAGGGACAGGGCAATATGATCCAGAGCATGGCACACAGGGGCAGCTGCTTACCCACGGGGCAATGCTGCCCATGGCACCCCTGGACTGCTCCATGAGACCTCCCAGGGCAGAGCTTCAGACGCTAGTCTTTGCAAAAAACACAGGGCAGAGGCTGAACCCAGGGAGAGCACACGACAGGACTGGGCTGGTTGGGACAGGCAAGTCACCCGCAGAGGGCTGGGGGAGGGGAGAGGGCCAGTCTGTGAGAGTTGCAGCAACTAGCAACTAGCGGTTTCAGGGAAAAAGTTCCCTGCTGACAATGAGCCCCTCCCTGCGACCTGGGGAGGGGCCCATCTCAGAGCCCAGGTCCTCCCAGGCGTCAGTTTCCTGTGGGCCTTTCCCTTTCCCCTCAGAATAGCCCTGCGCGAACCTTGGGGAACTGGGTTGGGCAGCTGTCCCCTCTCGGGTTCCTGCCCAGCCCCAAGCCTCCCTGGGATGGTGGGGAGGCGCAGGGGGCGCCCCGGGAAGTGAGCTGAGTTCGGCCAGCTGCACCCCCACTCC